ATGTGTGTCTATCTATATTATATATATATATATATATATATATATATATACTGTATATATATATATATAAGGTTTAATTAGTTTTCCTATGTCACTTTTATAAATCAGTTGTCTCAGTATTTTTGAATTATACATGGATTCAAGAAAGTGCTGAACTCAAATGCAATAGATGACAAATACTAGGATTTGCAACACATTAACATGTACTTAAATCTGGGTTCATTCTTTTTGTTAGTATGTTCAAGAAAAAAAATATATAAACAAAATATAAAAAGAGCGGATTAAAAATTAGGGAATAGGATAAAAACTGAAGGCGTATCACATCTGAGCACAAGCATGGTTGAAATTGCTGTAAATTTATGTTTTTTGTTTGTTTTTTTTCAGAAATCTTAAGTTGAGGAAGATGGACTTTGAAAGATGTAATGCAGGTTTCAGAGATGACCACTGCTTCCTCCTCCAGGGATCCACCTCACGGATCACGAATCAGTCAACATGCTTTACTCTTCTCTGCTTCAGCCAGCCCTGTAACTTACCAGAGGTCATGAACGTGCCTTCAGTGAACCACTAATCCAGTACTGTTAGGGAATCAGTCAGGATATTACAGACACAAGCAGTTTGAGCTCAGAATCACCATGGCAGGGATAATGACACAGAATTTCTCAGGGTCAGTCTGCAAAGCCACTCCATCCTCCACTCCAGAAAGGTCAGGTGCTTTATGGAGCTCCCACACTGTCTTCCCTGTTTGGCGGAAATTTCCCCTGTGTATCTAATCTATGAGTCCACTGACATAATGGCCCACTTCATAAAGGCCCAATATAGTGTTTGACAACATATTACATCTTACCTTCTCTCTCTCACTCTCTCTCTCTCTCTCTCTCTCTCTCTCTCTCTCTCTCTCTCTCTCTCTCTCTCTCTCTCTCTCTCTCTCTCTCTCTCTCTCTCTCTCTCTCTCTCTCTCTCTCTCTCTCTCTCTCTCTCTCTCTCTCTCTCTCTCTCTCTCTCTCTCTCTCTGTCTCTCTCTCTCTCTTTCTCTCTCTCTCTCTCTGTCACTCTCTCTCTCTCTGTCTCTCTCTCTCTCTCTCTCTCTCTCTCTCTCTCTCTCTGTGAGAGGTATTTTATGATCGTCTAGTGCACATTTGGTCAGATTATATGGTTATTTATTGTATTTGCTTGCGCTTGTCTGTTTTCATAAATGCCTGATGATGGTGGCTTCTTGCTACTTTTCTGAAAGTTTTTCTTCTGAGATTATCTTCCAATGTCATAATCAAAAATCACTCACATTTGTTTAGCTAATACTTCTGCAAGAGAATCTGACATAAAAGCTTACACTGCTACGGCAATTTATTTCCAAGACAGCATGTGCTTATTGTGTGCTTATTAATAAACATATTCAGTATTATATTCACCATACTGGGAAGAAAAAAATGAAACCTACTTTTATAGGACTGTTAAGATTTATAATTAATATTCATTGTAGCATTTTAATTTAATTTAATTTAACCCTATTTCTCATTACGTAAACACCAAATATTGATATATGATTAAAATGATAAAGTATTTATTTATTGATTATGGTAGTATTTCTATTTTTCAGCAGGGGTTACAGTCCCAAAAACATCGAAATGGTCCAAAAACAGGCTTAATTTGACTTTTTAAATAATTTACATGGCACTTTAAGGACGTAGTTTCGCCTTTATGATCATGTGATCCTTCATTTTGAAACTTGATGCAATTTATTTGAGATGGTATTACCTGTATTTAAAGCTAAAGGGACATATTCCTTACATTAAGTCTGTTTGTTTTTACGCGAAACAAACGTCCTGGGATTTCCTCCAATGGCGACAGCGAGCGGAAGCACGTGGGTAAACAGGAAGTGGTTTCGGCATTTGGCGGGTTGAGAAGAGAAGACGTGCAAAAATGGCGGGTGAGTGTGAAAACCGTCTATAATAGCGGCTGTGTTTTATTTGTGCTGCTGTTATTAAGCGCGTGTGTTTATGTGCTGTTAGAGCTCGAGCGGTGCAGCTGCGCGCTGATGTCTGAGAAGCAGAGCTTTAGCTGCGGCTAAATGCTAATCATCACAGAGATGAACAGCACACGTGTGTTGTTTACACGCTTGTCTGATCGAGTTTCTAACACACTCGAGATCCCACACAGATAAAACATCGCACATCAGGATGGTGCAGCTGTGTGCAGTGTAGCGAGCATTAGATGCGTCCATGCTTGTCTATCTGAGATCAGAGTATATCTATAGGATCAATAGAAGTAAAGATGCATATGTGTAGAAAGATGTAAATAACGTTACTCGTGATTAAATGGTTAACGTTATATACATGCATACACTTGAGTCTAAAAGCATAAGACCAGTAATGCAGATTCTTCTATTTAGCATCTTATAGCATTTATATTTTAAGCAGTGTAACAAGTCAGTAGTTTAAAGCACTCAAGCTGACATGGACAAAACCTGATGATCATGTTGTCCCGTATGATTTGAGATGGTCCAAAGAGCAATGCTAGATTTTCTGTGCAAAGAAGTCCCACATGGTCAGTATGAGTTATGTTATTTAATGCAGTGACATTTAAACCCAACTCTATGCACATATTGTATCGTGTTGTACTGTATTATTTTAATTGTGTAGCTGATGACAAGAAATGATAGTTTGGACATTTTACTTGTGCTGTTATGATAGACATGTTTCTCTGTCTTCCCCACAGCTGTGAATGACATGGAGAAGAAACTGGCAGAGTATAAATGCGACACTAATGAAGCTGTATGTCTGAAACTAGGTAAATCATTAATCATCACTAGAAATTAAAAATGGTTAATAAAGCAGTAGACCGAATCTGAACATTCTGAAGTTATCATTTAGGTCTATACATTTGATAAAAATCATCTGTAGCATCTTTTTTTAAATTTTATTTAGAATGCATTTGTCCTGCAGATTAATATAATTCAACATGAAGTTAACCCTATTTTTTTATTGATTGATTGCACATTTCTGGACTTAGTTATGCACGATTCATCAATGGATGTCATTCCAAATCAAAAAAAAAAATTTCATCAAAAACTAACGTGTTCGTCATCTGAAATTGCTTTCGTTTTCTGGCGACGTCACATCGGTTGTGAATAGTTAATGTTGACCAATAGCTAAACAGCTATTTATGCACTCTTTGAACAAACTCCTATTTGATTTGACTCCTTTCTGATATGTAATGCCCACCTTCATATGATATAAATTCAGTCTTTTGTCTGATGTAGTGCGGTTTCCAGAGGATCTAGGCGATGAAAGCACAACATTTCACCCCGAGTACAGTCATCAGCTGTTTGGAGATGAGTATGTATCACACACACCATGGCATATAATATACTCTTGTGCATGTATATATTTACTAAAAGGTAATTTCTTGGCACCACTACTTTGATCCATTGCTTCGATCCTTGTGTTTTGTTTTTGCGCAGTGAAGTGGCGTTTGGCTACAAAGGTCTTCAGATCCAGCTGTACTACAGTGCAGGGAACCTGAGCTCCCTGTTCAAAGTCAAGTACACAGCCAGGGTCACAGACACGTTTGACTGTGTGGAGGTATGTCATACCATCTCACTGATTGTGTTGACATGCACAGTGTTTGTAGCATACAGTCCAGTGAAAATATACATTTACATTTTCATCACATTCTGAACAGAGTGTGCACAGGCGGAGAGCAGCATTTAGTGTCATAACAGAGAGGAATGCTGTCAGAGAGTCAGCTGACTGTAGAATCAGCAGTTATACGTCACGCCTCAGTGTGCTTTCCAACTTACGCAGGACTCAACAGTAAGCAAGGGTAGGAGCCAGTCAATGCAGACTTTATGCAAATCCTAAATATTTGGTGTTTTTGAACGTTGTTGTTTCCACATTCTGCTAATTTAATCAAGTCAAGTCCATAACGTTATTCATCTGGCTAATATCAATTTAATATAGTTTTTTTTTTTTATTGTGAGAATGATTTGTGGAAGTCTAGAATTAATTATAACTGATTATTATATGTGACCCTGGACCACAAAACCAGTCATAAGGGTCAATTTTTCGAAATTGAGATTTATACATCATCTGAAAGCTGAATAAATAAGCTTTCATTGATGTATGGTTTGTTAGGATAGGACAATATTTGGCCAAGATACAACTATTTGAAAATCTGGAATCTGAGGGTGCAAAAAAATCTAAATATTGAGAAAATCGCCTTTTAAAGTTGTCCAAATGAAGTTCTTAGCAATGCATATTACTAATCAAAAATTAAGTTTTGATATATTTACAGTAGGACATTTACAAAATATCTTCATGGAACATGATCTTTACTTAATATCCTAATTATTTTTGGCATAAAAGAAAAATCAATAATTTTGACTCGTACAATATATTTTTGGCTATTGCTACAAATATACCCCAGCGACTTAAGACTGATTTTGTTCTCCAGGGTCACATATTATAATTGTAAGCCCGTCAATAATGTTTTGCATTGTTTTTGTTATTTAGGAATTACAAATTAAAAATCCAGTCATTTTACGGTACAAAAACGGTCCATTATGCTGCTTGATATTGCAAACTGGTATTTGTTTTTCTAATATTTAAATTTATTTTAGTAATCATAAACACACTGGTTTGTAGCACAGATAGTTTTACTGTTTAGTCTATTTAATATTTAAAGTTGCGACAGTAAGTAGAAGCGGATCTTTTCTTCTATAATGTGATCAGGGTTGTTATAGTTAATTACATCTAAAACCATAAAAATCTTCTTATTAAAATAAATATTAACTGAAATAAAATATGAGAGTAAACTTTTTTTATTTTGCCTAGTTGCCAAGACAGCATTTCTCAGTTTAATTTATTTATACTAAAATAACTACAACTGAAATAAAAATAAACAATATAGAAAAGCATAAAAGGTAAATGACAAAAACACACAACAAAATTACAAAATGAAGAAAGGGACGGGAGTTAGAGAAGTTAAGCATGTGTCATCAGAGAAAAGTCTGTTATTTCACCAGAAGGACATTTTGATAAAAAATTACGAGATAATTAAAAAAGATAAAACATGCATAAATGTGTAGTTTACAACAAGATCAATGCAAAATGCGTTTAGAAGGCAGAAAATGAATTTCCATTTCATGCCCACTTTTTAACTATATATATTTTTTAGATAGCGATTTCTGGAAGCCAATGTTGACATTTGAAATCACCAAAACAAACACGCCCCTACCCCAAAAGGGTCTTGCCCGCAGGCCTTCGACTCCTTGAGTTCTCTCCAGCGCTGGAAAGCTGATCCGATATTTACACGGGTCCTACTTCTTGCCTTAAGCCTTCTTTTGTTCCGCAGACGTTTTCCTCTTTTGTTTTTTATCCGCCATCTCTATCTTTCTGTCACTCAGCTCGGCTAATGTCCGTCCTGTGCACTGAACGCTCTCTCCTCCACATCATGAGTAGACACGCCCCTTACTGCTGATTGGCTACAAGTTTGTTTTGCTACTCGGCCCGAATCAGTTTTCTAAAGCGTTTTTGAAAAATAGCTTACCCCACCTTTAATATTTTTTTTGATTGTTGTTAATATTATTACACCTTTCATATATGATTTGTGTAACAATATTGTTTATATGCTTTGATGCCATCGGAAGCAAGTTTGGTCTTGTTCTCTTTGGACCTTTAGAAACACGTGTCACATCTGTCAAGACTGGAGTGCTTTGTGCTCACGCTGCTATAGTCAACCAGCAAAGCAAAACTGACGCTTACATGGCTTTATAACTCTTTATAGGCCTATCTCACACCATCCCAGACTCTCATTCTAGCTAATAAAACCTACAGAGAGCAAATGTGTTTAACAGACACATTGACCTATATTGCAGCTCATCCTTTCCACACACTCTAAAAAATGCTGGGTTAAATACAACCCAGTTCTGGGTAAAATAGGGACAAACCCAGCAATTGGGCTGTTCTGACCCAGCGGTTGGAACCCAGCCTTCTGGGTAGTAACCCAACCGCTGGGTCAAAACAGCCCAATTGCTGGGTTTGTCCCTATTTTACCCAGCACTGGGTTGTATTTAACCCAGCATTTTTTAGAGTGCAGTATTAGAACAAGCTTGCTTGTCTGTGAGAAGGATTTCGGTCGTTGGATAAAGTCAGACCTGAACTGTTTTATTGGTATTAGACCTAATTATATACTGTGTGCCGACACCACGTGGCCATGTTTAGTGGCATTTCTGAATGTCTCCCACCTTTAAGCGTGGCATGTAATTATAGCCGCTAAACATACTTAAGTTGTTTATTGTGAGGATAGTTGATTTTATTATGTCTTTTCTTTTACAGCGCTTCACCGTTGCTCATATTGGGTTCTTTTTTCATCTTTTTTTCCTCATAGATGAAGATGTCTTTGATTAAAAGGTTTTTTTTTTTTCAGTGTAATTGGATTCAATGCTGTTGTTGGACCCCATCGTATAAAGAAGACGCATTCTTGAGACTCTGAAGAGTCTTGGATCCTTAAGCGCTGTTAGTTAATACAGGAACGCCACAATGCCACGCTTTTATTTGTGCGATTGAACAATTTGCCTGAGAAACGGTCTGTTTTTACCATTTTCTGTCTGCTCCGTTCTTGTCGTCCTCTCTTCGCTCCCGTAATGCAGTGGTACAATAGTGAGTGTTACTGAGCTGCAGGTGCACCGATCCCCTTCTGATATTAGCTGATGTCTGAATGAGCAGGAATTAGCGGCGTGTTGCATTAGCCTTTTGTCGTGTGTTTTGTGGCCGTTGTGAATGAAGAGTCCTGCGACACAAGCGCAGCCCATCACGCGGCCAAAGGGCCCTGCTTAGCAACTTAATACAAAGTGTTCTCATGTCAGCCCCGCTGGAAATGGATACAATGCAAACATGGGTGCGCATTCTGCTGGGTAAAAAAATCCCGGGGAGGAGGGGGGCGGCGCTATTGTCCACCCCGGGGCCCGTGAATGGAGAGGGCAAACTCGTTTGACTGAGTTCGCTCACCAGCCTCACAACACAGGAGCTTATTATACATGTCCAGGCTTTTAAAAAATGTTTTTGTTAAGTCGAGATCAATTCATTAAATTGTATTGCCCGGTGAGAAGCTGGGACACATTACGGTGGGGGGAACTTCATCTGATATTCATGGTTTAAGATAAGTAGTGAATGTATTCAATTAAGTGGTCTTTCAGAGGAGGCACAGGAAGAGAGGGGCTGGAAACGCTCCGGTTACTATCGTAACCTCGGTTCCCTGAGAGCGGGAACGAGACATCACGGAGATATTTCTCCGTTATGGGAACTCCTTCCCTTCCAACCTTTCCTGAAGTCCTATTGGCTCCCGCCAGTCCAAATGACTGGCCAATTGACGCAAAGTATGCAAATCGCATGCAAATACTGACGAGCTCGAGCGGCAGTATAAAATGCGGTGCACGCGTCAATTACGTCCGAATCTGATACTGAACGCAGCTTAGCTGATCGAGCAGCGAACACGGCGACCACCGTGATGTCTCGTTCCCGCTCTCAGGGAACCGAGGTTACGATAGTAACCGGAGCGTTCCCTCTCGAGCTTTCACGAGACATCACGGAGATATTTCTCCGTTATGGGAACGACTCCGATCCCGCCCAATCCTCCCTCTCCGAGGCCGAGATGGACATCGAGTCATCCCCCTCCTCCTGGCTAAAGGATACAAACTCCGCGATGTTGGAAGGAGGGCGGAAGCAGTCCTCGGGGAGTGAGACCGGGGAACGGGGCGACCGTTGGGGTTGGTGGATCCCGAATAGGCCGCGAGCCACATCGCGGCGGGTTCGGAGCACGCGGGCCGGAAGGTCCGCGCAATGCCCGCAGTTGGACTCGTCCCGCGCCTCAGCTGACATTGCTAATTGCCTAATGGGTCTCCTTTTTGTGCCACAAAAATATGTATTTTTTTCCTTTAATTCCTTTTTGCGCCGTGCCAATCACAGCTGAAGTATAGCTTAATGACAGAACAATAGGGAATTACTCTGTTAGGGCTCTTTTGTGATTATATGTAAGGCCGAGCACCAGGGGAATAGACGCATAACTCATAAATGTGCCACTTCAGTTTATATGATTAAATCCAGCTGCTTTCACTGTACACTAGACACAGCTGAGTTAACCGCTCTCGCTCTGTGGGAGTTTGAAATGTGCTTTAGATTAAGATGAATGCATGTTACCTCTATAGAGATGCACATGTTCGGTCTCGTGTGCTGATCTTTGTCTTTAAATGGATAGATCAGCACAATATTCTGCCATCTTTCACAACCCCTCATTCCATGTAGCAAAAAGTGAGGAGTTTAGCAGAATGCTCAAGCCATGCAGTGAAATCTGACCGTGACCTGTGGCTGTTCAGCTCCTAAAAGGACAAAAGACACCATTGAAGTGTCAAGTAATCCATATGTGCTATATTCCTCTGAAGTCATATTTAAGTCGTGTTTAAAATAGATGTACATTACAGTTCAAAAGTTTGGGGTCAATAAGGTTTCAATAAAGGTATTTATTTATTCAGCAAGGATGCATTAAATTGATCGAATATGACAGTATAATGAAAGTTAATGTTTACAAAAGATTTCTATTTCAAATAAACTTTCTATCATCCAAAAACTCATAATAAAAAATGTTTCACTGTTTCCACAAAAATATTAAACAGCACAACTCTTTTCAACATTGATAATAATAATGTTTCTTGAGCAGCAAATCAGCATAGAATGATTTCTGAAGGATCATGTGACACTGAAGACTGGAGTAGTGATGCTGAAAATTCAGCTTTGATCACATGAATAAATTACATTTTAAAATATATTAATCTAGAAATTGGTTATTTTGAATTGTAATAATATTTCACAGTATTACAGTTTTACTGTATTTTTGATCAAATAAATGCAGCCTTGGAGGGCATAAGAAATCTTCATTTAAACAAATTTTTTTCCACATATACATTCTGTTCAGTCTTTTTTTTTCTTTCTTTAAACTTCAGTGTGACTTCAGATTCACATGGTCCTTTACTTGTGATTCTTGTGACTTTGCTTTGCATCTCTTGTTTGAATTGTAACACACATATACATAAATGCTGTTTCCTCGTTTCAAATGTTGGGAGTCATTTAAAGGCAGCTTGCTCTTTCTCTGTGTTTGCTCTCAGCCAGACGATGTGGAGGGCAAGATCAGAGAGATCATTCCTGCTGGTTTCTGCTGTAACACAGATGACTTCATCTCTCTTCTGGAGAAAGAGGCCAACTTCAAACCCTTCGGCAGCCTGCTGCACACCTACAAAGTTCACAATGTGGAGGCAGGAGAGGATCTCACCTACCAGATACACAAGGTACAGAGTTTCCCGCAGCATGTGAGTCACTGCTTTGACAGCTGGAAAACTGGAATATGATTGAGTTTTCAGGCCATTGTAACAGGTTCGGCAGTGTGGATCGTGAATAGTGAGAAGTATTCGGCTGTGGTTTTAACCACGCATTCAGCGTTCATGCTTTTTTTTTTTTTTTTTTTTTTTCACTAGCACTAGCGCATGCTGATGACGTTTTATTCTTCTATAGAAACGAGTAGTGTACGAGTCAATAGGCATCATCATCGTACAGTCTACATGCATGTCGTACCCAAGTTTATTAGATCCATGTCGCACAGTGTGGTTTGCAGTGATCTTGCTCACATAGGCTTTGTTGTTACCTGCAGAAAATAAAAGTGTCAGAATTGGAGAAAGTTGATTGAAAGATTAGTGTTGTGTTTATAACTGTATATCATGTCGCTTAGGGTTTGCTTACTTGTACTTATTTGATTTATGCATCTTCTTGCTGCATCTTATTAGACTGACTTTTTTCAATGTATGCAACGTAATGCATAATGTAATGTTATGCAAAAGTGTTGTTAGGAAATGTTGACTGCCTCTGCACATTTGAATTACGTTCTAGCACATTTCCTTGTGAACACAACATGGATTTGATCTGCTCTTCATCGTTTCAGGTGGATACCTCGTGTCCAGGGTTCAGAGAGTACCATGAGCGCTTGCAGACATTTCTCATGTGGTTCATCGAGACGGCCAGTTTCATCGATGTGGATGATGATCGATGGGATTTCTTCCTCGTGTGAGTGCCTAAACCAGACCTGATTCAGATTTAGTCTGTATCAGCGTTGAAGCATTCTTATATTTGTCACATTTTATACATTCATAATAAAAGAATAGTCTATATTCAGGGGAGACTATTGACAGCATGTGTGGCCTTCTGTTGATTACCACAGAAAAGAATCCCTCATTTCTCAATTTGGGAACATTTAAAAAGACTACTTTTTTTCTTTTTTTTGTAATGCTCTTCTGTCTAAAAGGCAAGACACAAACAGTTTAAAATAAAGACCCTTTCGAATACTTAAAAGTTTGCATCATACATGCAAGGATGTCAGAACACATTTACATCACCTGTCTGTAACTCATAACCAGCTGTAAAGAACAGTAGAGTTCCCTCTAGAACAGAAATCCAACCACTAAAAGGATAATTTAGACGACTGTAGGTCAAATAATAAATTTCTGTACAGAACAATTTATATAAAAAATAACAATAATAAAACAAACTTCACATTGCTGTTTTGAAACTAGGGCTGGGCGATAATTCGATAACGATAATTATCGCGATATAATTTTCCTCGATAAAACGATATGAAGAGTTTGATAAATGTTCGATACAATGTTTATGCGCCAAAAGCGGAACGAATCAGCTCGACTCATTTGAATCGAGCGACATGGACCGTTTATCTGCTCGGATCACAGTTCAAACTGCCGCGCGAGCTCTCTACAGTAGAGCAGATGCGTTTACTCGGTCACGCGAGCATTAAGCAACGCTGTGAGATCGAGTGTGAAGCGCTTGAACTCAGCGATAAACTCAAATGACTCGGTGATTTAAACTAGTTTAAAGCCAAACAGGAGAAACACTGTGTGTAACGAGACAGTCAGAAGGCTTTTCAATCTACACGTCGCTATCATTTACCATGAATTTACTGTAGTAACACTCACTGCACCAAGGTATTGTGGCAGAAACTTGAGATATTCACATTGAATTTTAATACAGGAGTAATGGTAATTATAGTACGTATTTGTGATTAAGCTATAGCATGTGTGCATTTATACTGAATGTTTTTAGACTACTGTTTTTCATACAAATAGGCTACTTAAAAACCACATAGTTATATTTTTACCATGGTATTGAGGTGCTATATGCGTGGTTTTAACTGTGTTTATCATGATTTAAATGCATGCTACTATGGGAGACCAATGCTTAATTAAAAAAAAAAAAATCTTGGTCAGAATAAATTTAACCGTATAAAAATTAGGTTGCTACAATTCTTTTACAGATGTTACTGATTTTGATAATGAACAAAGTACCTCTGCATCCTAACTCATGCTACTATCAAATGTGCATTTCTAAGAGACAAAAAAGTGATATTATTATTAATATTATCAGGCAACCCAAACCTGTTTCTTGATTTGAAATATCACTCATCAGAACATGCAGAAACTAAGAAACAAATTTTTCTATTCAGATATTTATTTTGTTAAGGAAAATGAATGGTCTTGTTTTATTTCACTTTGGAGCAAAAATCTGGCTTTAAACTTGAAAGAAATAAAGTTTTGACATTTACCGTGATAATTATCGATATCGACTGATATGAAAAAAATTACCGTGATAATTTTTTTGGCCATATCGCCCAGCCCTATTTGAATCCCACTGAAATGTCTTGCCCTATAGACTTCCATTGTATGTCCATTATTGTAAGTGCAATTTTTGTTAACTAAAATCTAAATGATTAACTGTGGTAATTGACAGCATGCCGCAGATATTGTCACAGATATAGCATGTACTTTCCACTTCAATTTTGTAATCGTTTGCTCATCCTCATGTTGTTCCAAATATAAGACTTATTTTCTTCTGTGGAACATAAAAGAAGATAATTTTGGGAAATGTCTGTTTTTTTTTTAATACCCATATAACTCACTGGTATTCAAAATATCTTCTTTTGTGTTCTGCTGAATAAAGTCATACAGGTTTGGAACAACATGAGGGCCAGATGACAAAATGTTCATTTTGATTCACAACTATTCCTTGTATTGGACCCCAGATAATAGTTTTAATTAGATATGTTCGATATAAAGTACAGTGTTCCATTATTTGGCCCAGTATCCAATGTATTTAGCCTATGGCATGTTAATAACATACTTTTTGCATATTGTTAGGCCATGCAGATCATGGTAAGACTAATAAAGTTCTGTTTCTTTAAGGACATGTTTGTTTACCACTTGATATGAATGTAAAACCTGGGTCCAGAAGCAAAATCAATTGACAACCACTGACAGAAATGCTATGGAGCTTAAAATATGACAAAACTATCTGAATTTGAATTGTATAAATTTGAATTATTGACAAGTGTCATTTAACAAAACTGAATATTATGTGGCATCTAACATAGTTCTGAATTAGATTTTTTTAACTTGAATATTGAATATTTGAAATTTAACACAATTGATTTTGTATAGACATGTATTTTCAAACAGCTGATTTTTTTTGTTCTGAATTCTTAGACTGCAAATATCCAGTTTTTAAAAATACAGCTCCAAGTTTTCAAGATGAAGAAGATCAGAACATCAAATTCAATATTCTAAAATTCAAAACGCAGAAATTCAGATCGCACATCTGGATATTTGCAGTCTAAAAAAATCAGCTGTTTGAAAATACATGTCTATAAAACTCTGCCATAAAAAAATTAAATTGTGTTAAATTTCAAATATTCAAGTTAAAAAAAAAAATCTAATTCAAAACGATGTTAAATGCCACATAATATTCAGTTTTGTTAAATGACACTTGACAATAATTCAAATTTACACAAATTCAAATAGTTTTGTCATATTTTAAGCTCCATAAAATGCTAAATAAAGAGGCTCTCCGATAGTTCTAGATGTATATTCTCAGCCTTTGAATAAATGTGACTTGTTGGCAAAAACTCGTGACTAGTGTTGATAACTTAAGGAGAAAAAATAGACATCAAGTGCTCTCACAAAGCCAGCGAGTGCCGATAAGAAGGTAGTGACCATTAATAGTGAACAGTAACTTTCTGAGCAGTGCTTTCCTGAGTCTCTCTCACACACGTGCACATGTAAAGCATCCGAACGGGCCCAGTTACGCCTCTCCTGCTTTTGTGGGACCAATTATCAGGCTGCTTTAATTATATTTTCTCCTGCATTGAGGCAAATTGTTGATCTGGCAAGCGTTTCCTTTGTGTTGTTTGTCTTGTTTCTTTGCTCTTGTGTTTCTTTCTTTCTTGAGTCAGGCCAAGAGGCTGAATTGAATGTTGTTGTCTTTTGAAACGCTGAATAATGAAGTCTCCAGCGGTAGCGAAGGGGACTCTGCCTGTGTTTTCTTTGCTTTGGCACCTATTAAAACAGACAATGGGCAAATGGACTGGAGTGATGTGAAGAGGCTAGATGCCTGCCTCTCTGCTCTAAGTTGCAGTGCACCAATTAAGTGCATAATGCATTCAGTGTCTCCAGCAGGTGCAGCGACAGGCCACTGGCCCGCCGCAGTGACGAGGGGGGGGGTCCGGTGCATGGGAGCGTGCCTACGATTGACCTGCCCGCCTTTGTCATCTCTCTCGATCTCTCTGTCTTTCTTACAGATTTGAAAAGTACAATAAGGATGGAGAGACCCTCTACGCAACGGTTGGCTACATGACAGTGTATAATTACTACGTATACCCAGACAAAACCAGACCACGTGTCAGGTAATTACCGAGGAAGCACGTGCCCACTATCTGCTTTATTCTGCGAAAAAAGGAAAAGAAAATTACACATCTCTCTCTCCCTTGTCCCTAAAACTCCCAAATTACCGTCTTGCGTCTCTTGAGCGCCAGCCCCTCTCTGGGTATTATAAGACCCACGAATTCAGCATCACCCGCCCGAAAGCTGGTTTTGAAAACGAGTCTAATGTATTGATTGGCAAGTCGTACTAACGTTTCATTACTTTGGCTACTGCTGAATGAACAGATATAACCTCTCGGAGACTGATGATATCATTGCTTACTGTATTTGAGAATATTTTCAGCAGCTAAAATGAGGCGGATGAAAGTGGGACTGTCTGTTTTAGTAATTCTTAAATGGTGGGTCGCAACCCAAAATGAGTTCTGATAGCAGGGGAAAACCACGCAAGGAATAAATTGCAACTAAGCATGTAATCGTGCGTAGAACAAATAGTCGAATAAATACAGAAATACGCAGAAAATGTAAGAATAACTTTTATATTGTTAGAAATATTTCAACTTGAGCACTTACTGGACTGAAGCAACTTAGGTTTACTTTATTATCCAAACATAATTGTTTAGAAAAATCATGTTAAAATGAATCACATATGATACATCAGGTTTTTGGGGTTTAATGATTATCTCTCAATAAGCATTGCATTGCATTTTATTATATGTTTTGCCCCCACAATAAAAGAACAAACAAACAAAACAAAAAAACAAACTACACAGCTTTGATCATAAAACTAAGCATTTAAACATCATTACTAAGACGTATCATTGGGAAGTATAGAGTGACAACTGAATTGATATGGATTTTATGTAAGTAGTCTGTTATACTGTTATAAATATCTCATTGATTTACATAACAAACTGTCAGAATCTTACTTTTGACCATATAAATGTCAGCATCTGTTTGGGCCTAAAACTCCTTTTTTACTGAAAAAAAAGAGTTTCAGTAACTCAGGCTCAGTAAACTATTCCATTAAAAAAATAAAAAATAAATAAAAAAGCCTTTTCTGACTTACTTCATATGTCAGGCTTTTTTGATTAAGATATTTTTGTTACTTTTGTTTGATTAACAATTTTGTTTACGGTGATGTGCCCCACCTGATGTTCAATGTAAAATGTTGGTCTTTGAGCAAAACCTCTGTCCTATAGTGTGAGTTTCAGCAGATTCTGTAAAGTCAGTCGTGTAGTGTGTGTCTGAAGGGTGCTGGAGCTGTGCTTGCAGAACCGCTGCTCAAAGCCTCAAGAGCTCTAACCTTAAATTAGTATTGTGCCTAAGTATCTTCTGTTCTGTGCAGCATCACTAAAGCTTTTGTACTCTGTGTGTGTGTGTGTGTGTGTGTGTGTGTGTGTGTGTAAAACAGCTGTTTATTAAACACTGCTTACTGTAGTGCCATTTCTAACTATTGGCAGAGCAGGCAGTTGACCTCTGCATTATGAAGGTATACCTCTGCATTATTGCATAAATGTACCACAGTACAATATAGGTAATGGCATATGTTTCATGTTTACATTGGGCACTCCCCACCAGGTACAATATTCTGATTGTTTGCATCTTGTTTTTAAGCCCATAAATAATAAAGTACTCGTTCTAATAAATTTATATTGTAATGTACTCATTCTAATATATAAAAAAATCATATTTACATTGCTGGTAGGTTACCAAGCGCGTTTATCTACAGTGGAGAGAGCGCGCGTGCACATGGTTGCCAGTTGACAATAACAAGTAGCACGCTTAGCAGATATTTCCATATTGCGCAAGTGGGAAGCTCTGTTTCGGGGATTACGTCTCTTTATATCAGGCAGCCCTGATTGTGTTCCTCTGCGGCCAGATTAAACCTTGTTGTAGCCTATATATTATGCTCTATTCATTATTTTTTAGAAACCTTTTCTACTCTATTTTAAACTGTGTTCTTGTATTCAAATTAAGCGCGGTCCACTACGATACTCGTATCGTCAAATCTCTGTGACGATACATCGTTGTATAGATGTATCGAACACAGCACTACATTGTAGTAGCATAGCTATATTGTTTTTATATAGCTATGATAGTTTCATTCACTTCACATCAACTTACAGCCTCTTTATTCTCAAATAATAAAACATTTTCGACTAAAATCTGTCTGTCTGTCTATCTATCCCGTCCGTCCATCCATCCATCCATCCGTTTGCAATAATAAATGACTGATATGGAAAAGAAAAAAACAAATTTTGGTTGACCAACTTTTACATGCATTAATACAGCCAAAAATGACAACATGACAGTTCCAATCCAGTCGTTTATAATTTTTATGTTTTATCTGACAAAAAATTAATGAATTAAAGCCTTGCATCATTAGAGTGTGTGTTCAGAAAGCCAACCTGTATGATCTGATCACACATCCATTCTAATGTGTGTGAAAGGGAGAGAGGGCAAAGTGTTGTGTATTTCCTTTGGTACGGCAGTTGTTGCTGTTGAGTTGCTCTGCCTTCAGTTTTGGGGAGGTGAAGGGATGTGATGTTAATTGCCGGCAGTTTGCTCCTGAAATGTGCTGGCCACATGCTGCCACTCACTCACCCCCTCAACAAAGACACAGTTATTCAGAGAGAGAGAGAGTGGGGGCGACCACACTACCAAATCTACCCAGCACTCACTATTTTACCATTTCTGTTTATTTCTCTCTCTATGTATAGAGAAAGAAAAACTTATTTATTTATTTGTCTATCTAGTTAGCTAGCTGTGAAATTACTTTCCCCCCCAAAGTGTGTAATTCAAGAAGTAAAACAGTCATGTTTATTAACATGTAGTTAATAATAATCAACCTGTTTTTTGCACTAAATGAACACACATAATAGTTAATAATTTACCTCAATCATACATGAATATAACAGTACATACATGGTAATAAACAGCAATATTTACCTGCATATATTTTTACTGCAAATAACAGTGTTTCTCAACTGGTGGGTCGTGAAGTGTACAGTCAAAGAAACATCAATTACAAAAAATTCTAAATTTTTCTGATTCGAGACTTATTTTGAAAGACGTGCGTGAAAGCTGTTGACACTTCTGTTAGATGCAGTTTAAGTAAAGACTGCCTGAGAAAAACGCACTGTTTCAGTATCTGCGGTCAGATTAGATGTTGTCAGACATAATGTCAGCGTCATTATTTTATTGTCATTTTTGTAACTTATAAATAAAAAGTCTCTCACCTCAGAAAAATGAACTATCCTGGGCTGTCAGACGTTATACTGTGCTCGTAGCGTGCACTCTTCAGTTGCACGCACAAATGCGGCGGCGCGCTGTATGTCATTTCACTAAAGCGCAAAAGAAACTACGAGCATGCAATGAGTGAAATAAAAGTAAAGTACCAATAAATCACGTAACTGGTACTTTGGGTGTAGGCTGGGAAGGATTTGCATGAAGGTATGATATTCATTCTATTCAGGAGCAGTTTACATGTTTCATTAACCGTTCATGTTAGTATTGTGTATTCACCATGGTAACTGTTGTTTCCATAACCCACAAATGCCATATTATTTTCACTTTGTGCTATTTTGTATATGTTTAAATGACTGTGGTGGCTTATACCAACTTAACTGTATTAACAAAAACTAGTTTGGGACTGTTTAATAGCCTTACCTTTTATAGGCTGTTTATTCATCAGTATTAGTCATATATTTTAAGTAAAGGGGGACAGTACTTTTGTGTGTCGACAATTTTTGTGAAATAAATTTGCTGTTTTTTTTAACACACACACACATACATATACATACATATATATATATATATATATATATATACATATTAGTGCTGTGTTCGATACGACGATGTATCGTAACAGAGATTTGACGATACGAGTATCGATACAGCTGGCCCTGTATCGATATTGTGGCACGTGTGCAGCAGTGGACCGCTCTCCACTGTAGATAAACGCGCTTGCTTTCTGAAAACACCAGTAAGCTTGCAGTTTAGCGATCTCCACTTCAATATTCTGTTCTCAAAAAAGTGTAATTCATCAAGTGTTTATTTACACGAGAGAGAGAGAGGGAGAGAGAGAGAGGCTGTGTATGTATGAATTACCACCGTTTTGCCGCGTTTCTCTATTAATATATATATATATCTCCCCTAAAAAAGTGGGTAGCGGCTTGATGGCCAAACCAATTGAGAACCACTGGAATATAACACAAAATGCCATATGGACACTCCGATGAACATTTTTGATGGCACACACAAAGAAAAAAATGTCAGCATTTTGAATCGATTCATTAAAAGTCAACTGATAATGAAATAAATCAAACTTGGCTATTCTATTGATATTTTTGCTACTGAAGATATTAGACACTTTTAAAACATTTGTCTTAATGCTCCTGTGTTTGTGAGGCAGTAAGGTCAACTTTAGTCTAATAGTGCGGTCTTTCTTAAGTGCATTAAAATCATGATAATAGCTTGTTGCTGAATTGTATGTCGCCAACAACATCAGCAGCAATATATTGTAAATATTCCACATATCGTTCAGCCCTAATCTAGGTATTTTCTACTCTGTCTGTCTCTTCGGTCAGTGACTAACTACTAGTCATTAGTTTAGTAAGTCTTTGTTTCCCCTGATTACCAGAGTAAACATGCGTCTAGCTTATTTCTCACTAATGATGCATTCAGCATAAGTAATGAGTGTTTTCTTGGAGGTTGAGTTATGTTTGTCTGGCGTCAATATCTTCATACTGTATTTTACCAATTGAAAACTTTCAAGACTCTCATGAGTTGACTTTTTGTAATTGTCTGCTCCGCAGCGGAGGACCCGTCTGAAAACTATGTGAAGCTGAGAGATTTTGTGCTGGTGAAGCTGTGCTTGACTCTGCCCTCCTTCTCCAGTGAGAAACTCTCTCAGGGCTTCAGTGAAGAGATGGTGTCTGAGGCCAGAGAGAAACTCAAGATCAACAAGGTAACATCCCTTGCAGGTTTATTTACTTACTATGAGATGAAGTCACAAGCTGGATTCAGACCTGCATTGCCTATATGAGCACCTCAGCTCAGTGTGTTGTACATTGAATAGATATTTTAGACTTATAATGATTTATGTGCATTTTATTTTGCTATTAAGTTTCCTGAAGACCATCCCAGTAGGCCAGCTTCACTAGAGTGTGAAGACCGAGATATTTAAATAGCACCTGTTTTCAAACCTCATTAGATAGTTTGATTCATTTTAATGAATCCGGTTCTTTTAAACTGTTTGTTTTTAGTCAAAGTCAATGGTATGTGATCATCACTGAAAATGTGCGCAACAGTTCCTGCGTGGCATTTTATATGCTTCGAAATGTTTTAGTTAAAAATATATGTGTAGCACTGTTCATTTTACATGGTTATATTGATGCATATCAGTTAATTAAATACCATTCTTTATTGGGAGACTAACCATTTTTTTTACTCTATTTTGAATATGCTTATCAACAATAGCTTGCCAAAAAAAAAAAACTAAAAATTTAAAGTAATTTCAGAACAAACTTCAAGATACTGTATATTTAAATTCATAAATTTCAGCTCTTTCACCCAGCACTATTTTTGTCATGTTTCTTTGAAGTTTTACTGTTGCTGTAAAACTTTACTGGTGCTGTTGTAGATAAGAAAGCCAAGTAATTATACAGTTAACTCTACAAAGTGTTTGTGCATTTATATATAGAGGTATTGGCTTTGTCCTGATGGGTTTCCAACTTGTAATGCTACCCTAAAGGTCGGAGTGAACATCCGTTTCCTCTGGAGGCCGCTGGCCATTAGCAGGTAGTGAGTGGGAGTGGGCCTAACAATGACCCCTGTGGGACTCCTCTATCTCTCGCCACTTCGGCCACTCTTTAGCTGCTCCAATTATAACCCAGCATCCCCTTTTATGCCCCACAATCCCCTCTGTTCATGTTGTTTGTGAGTGATTATCTCAGGGTGGTGCCTGTGGCATGGCCAGGCAAAATGCTTGGCTCTCCATACTACCCTAGTGGGAACTGCGTGTGGTATGGTGGACCTCTCGGAGTCATGGTTACAGATTCAGAATAGCACGGGAATCCTAGAGCATGATGGTTTTAACCCAGATAATTGGACAAGGTTAAAGAGTCATTCCGTAATTGCTGCTCTTTGCTGTTACAAAACTACATTATTCTCCATTGAGAGTTAGCATATGGACATTAGATGTTACACCTTATTTTAATATGACATGCGACGTAAGCTTCCTTTTCATGTTTGGTTGATTAGAAACTTTTTAATCATCTATGCTCGTTCCCCTCATCAATATAAAAAATACTTATAGCAAAACGTACCTAAAGTACATAGCACAGTAAACATTTCATATGATTATATCTCTAGTATGAAGCCATATTTATAATTTGCATGATGTTTTTGATTCAGGTTTTGACTTTTGCATTTGTGAATGTCACAGACATGTTATGCTTTATGGATAGCATCTGTGGCACACTGACCATTTTTACGCATTTCTTATATAGCTGTGCAAGATCTTGCCTCTCGTATCGCTCAATGCTCTCTTTATTTTCCACATAAAATCATTTAAAACCAGTATTTCATGTCCATGTTTTATTTATTTGTTTGGGAAAACAGTGTGATTGAATGAATATTGCACAGTCATCTGGTCATTATCATAAAATAAACCCCCTCAGGGTGATAGAAGACCCTTCATCTTTGTATCCTTATCGCCCTATCTGTGTTTATTTTGCAAAAATTATGTTCTTCCTGAACTCTACTCACAGGAATTACATTGGTAATGCATAACCAGACTTTCAACTGAAAGTAGTTCCACCTCTAAAGTACTGTATTGACAATGTTCACAATTTGAACAAAACATTATTTTACTAAAGAACAATGCAAGTGCAAGAAAATCTGAACCTCACATATTCTGCTCAAGGTGCCACAGATGCTGTCCCCAAACTTTAGGTTGAAAAAGCTAGAATGTGTTAAAAGAAACAAAGCTTTACAGTATGTCTCTTGTCTGCTGTCTAACTTTCAGAAACATGCACGCCGTGTTTATGAAATCCTGCGTCTCAGAAACACAGACATGAGCGATGAAGAGAAAGCCAAAGAATTTCGATTGGAGGTGAAAAAAAGACTCTATGGACCCTACAGAGTAAGTGTGTGTGTTTTATCTGCTCATGTTAGCTGTAGGTCCATCCCTGTTTTGTCTGCATTGACTGACTGCTTTTAAGAAGCAGAATACTGCAATCTGACTCAGTACATTACCCATTAGGCGTAACTGCTACAACTCTCATGCAATGATTAGTCAGTTATAAAGCGCAGAGCCTGAGCTTCGTGTGCTGAACATGGATTTCAAGAAACAACAAAACAAGTGAAGTCTTGCCAAAACAAACCCTGGCTGCGACTGCCAAGATTGGCCTGCTTGTATAACGTTCTCCAAACCGCACAGCTCAAACTACAACATGTGAAATGAAGCATTTTTGGACTTCAAAGAGAGCTGCACATTTCTAGCCCTGTTTAAATGTGCTGTATAAAAATGAAAAGAAACAAAAGTCTTTCAGTGCTGCTGTTCTGATATTCTGCAGTCTTTGTCTGGTATAATTTATTCATTGAGTGGCGTGAATAGTTTGCGGCGTTTCCTGTGTGATCCTCTCACGCGGTGTTAAGAGCGAGAGGGACCCGAGGCCCCGGTCTGGGTTTGTTTGAGGGTATAATGGCTCACGCCGGGCGGCAGCCGCAGTCTCCACATCCACACCACGAGCTTCATTCACAACAAGTGTCATTATTACAGATTTGCATCTGATTTAAGCAGAGCCATTTAGCAGGAAGAATGCAGCACCCAGTCACCTGCACACGGCCTCTCTCTCTAATCCGCTCTCTCTGCATGAAGACACGCTACAGTTGCGTATCTCAGGACTGGAGCTGTGCAGTATCACTAAATTCTTTTGACCTCGATAGTTATCTTTCTGCAGGCTTGTGCATATGTTAGTTATAATTTTGAGCAGTTTGACGCTTTATTTTAATGTCTTCAGTTATCCGTAAGCCCACACAACTTCTGCACTGATTATGGGAGAAACTAAATCTATGCATTATCGTATTGGCCAATATATTTTAAGAAATATACTACCATTCCAAAATTTGGGGTCAGTAAATTAATTTAATCAAAATTCAGTTGATCAAAAGTTACAGGAAAGATATTTATAATGTTACAAAATATATCTTTTTCAAATAAATGCTGTTTATATATATATATATACGACATTCTTTCTCAAAATGATCATGAGAATAAAATGATCATGACTCTTTCTCACACAAAGCTATCATATGTCTTCAGAAATCTTGTAAAATAGTATGTGACGTACTTCTGGAATTCTTTTATGGCATTTTATTGTTATTATTTTACCCCCTTTTTTTGGAGCTTAAAGGGATACTCCACCCCAAAATTAAAATTTTGGTCATTAATCACTTACCCATGTCGTTCCAAACCCGTAAAAGCTTCGTTCGTCTTCGGAACACAATTTAAGATATTTTGGATGAAAACCAGGAGGCTTGTTAACTGTCCCATTGACTGCCAAGTAAATTACACTGTCAAGGTCCAGAAAAGTATGAAAGACATCATCAAAATAGTCCATATGCCATCAGTGGTTCTACCCTAACGTTATGAAGCTCCGAGAATACCTTTTGTACGCAAAGAAAACAAAAATAACGACTTTATTCAACAATTCGTCGTCTCCGCGTCACCGTAGCGCCATTTTGGAGAGTATCCACTGAACACAAACGGCGTATGCTGTTCTGTGTCAGCCGTACCACACGGTTACGCTGTTTTCGTTGAAATCAAAGCGTAAATAAACAGAGAAAACGTATCCGTGTGGTGCATATCCGTTATTTTTGTTTTCTTGGCGTACAAAAGGTATTCTCGTCACTTCATAAAATTCAGATTGAACCACTGATGGTAAATGGACTATTTTGATGATGTCTTTCATACTTTTCTGGACCTTGACAGTGTAATTTACTTGGCAGTCAATGGGACAGTCACAGGCCTCCCGGTTTTCATCCAAAATATCTTAAATTGTGTTCCCAAGACGAACAAAGCTTTTACGGGTTTGGAACGACATGGGGGTAAGTGATTAATAACAAAATTTTCATTTTAGGGTGGAGTAACCCTTTAATATGTTCTAGTTACTGTTTGTGTTCATTGTATGGTAAAGAGCAGCGTGAACATTCTGCTGACTTTCTCTTTTTGAGTTCCACAGTAGGATAAATGTCAGACAGGTTTTGGAACTTTGCAATTCTCAGGAGGTTTTTGCAAAATTCTGCTGCCAGAGATTTTGTGCAGTGGTCTTTATCTTTTCATCTTATTTCATTTATATTTTAACTCGATTAGCTGTTTCTTTTCGCTGCATGTGTCTTGACTCTTCTTGAGGTCTTTTTGCTCAGAATGTGTTGCAGCAGATGTTCCTGTCTTCTCAAAATCTTGTTTGTGTGTGTATGTAGGTAGGGATGCAGGAGGTGATTCATTAATAATGAACTTTGCCCAACATTTCAATACACACTTGCTGGAAAGTCTTACAACATAAATAAATTGTTGTTTGATTAATATTATAGATATAGGCTGGATTGACACTGTAGGACCTAATGCACAGATCTGATATTTTGCCTGTTTACATTCACTTCAGACATTAATATCTCTTAAACAGGGATTTAGACCAAGAACATTTGAACACTGACTGTCACGCTCATTGAGTAGACCGCATACACATATTGTGTTTGTTTTGGGAATACAAAATATTCTTAACTTTATTCTTAAAAGAAAAAGAAGAATTGTGTTCTTAAGAATGTCTTGTGAATCTGGCCTCAGTACCTTTGACATCCCTGGATTTGCACACACTAAAGGAATTACACAATAGAGCTGTTCAGTCGTGCTATCAGTTTGTAGACAGGCTAATTCACCATGGCTTCCCTCTGGAATTTCCCATAGGTTTTTTAATAGTGGTTTTTGATTTGAGTAAAACAAGGTCTGTGGCAACATTACTTTTTGACATTCGTGTATCATAAATTACACACAGAAATACCTCAAATGTAAATTTTAAAGTGGCTGTTTTTTAAAATGTAAGTTGCTCTATGAGGACAGCTGTGGTTGGCTGATATGTCATGCATGTAAACTCCCTGCGGACGTTTTAGAAAAAGTAGATTAAAAAGAAAATCAGCTGATTGATGGCTTCTTACAGTTGTCACTGCATATGAAGCTGCGAGTTTAGTGAATGCGAATCCTAAATCTGTATATATTCTATGAGTGTGTGTCTGTGTGTGTGCGCTTTCTTTTGAATTCATGTTTCGTCAGTCTTGGTTCAGTGCCAACGCCTCTCAACAACCGTACAGACTCAGTTTTTGTTCATAGCTCTTTTATTTCTTCTCTCGTTCTCTCGTTGGGTTTTTATACATGAAGTTCAGCTGTGATGTAATCACATGTGCCCTGGGGTTTCTGTTCAATGGCAGCTTTTGGATGGGATCTGGTGAACTGCTTTGCATCTTATTTTCTCCTGCGCTGTACTGACACCGCTTTTGCCTTGTGTGTAGAAAAACCAGCGTGAGCTGACTAAGATGCAGAAGTGTTTGAGGCCAGAGGAGCTGGCGTCCCACATCAGCCAGATGGACACGAGACTGCAACACGAGGAGCTGGAGAAAAGCTACCAGGACGTGCTGGCGGAGTATCGCAGAGTCCTGGAGCGACTGGCTCAGGCCTGAACACACAGAGACTTCTGCATAGTCCTGGAAAGACTGGCCCAGACACACACACACACACACAATATCACACATACTGTTCTATTGCATTGTACATGACACATCTGGGAGACTTCTGCATAGTCCTGGAAAGACTGGCCCAGACACACACACACACACACACACAATATCACACATACTGTTCTATTGCATTGTACATGACACATCTGCATTTGTTACTTGTGATAGACAGATGATGGGCAGTTATTCACATGAGAGAAGAGTGCATTGGTCTACTGTGAAGATGAACTCTGAAGATTTTTGAGTTGATATTGTTAGTTTTTTCCATGAAACATTTTCCTTAAAATGTAAAAAATGTAGATTTTGAAGCACTTCCTTTGAAAAACAAATAAAATGTTTTGTATATTGCTCAAATGTGTCTAAAATAAAATCTTCATTTTACTTATCAGACTGTAACTCTGCACTGTTTGATGTTACAGTGTTTAAAACTTGCATAAGACACTGCTTGATGTTGCATAGGGAAGTCGTGGCCTAATGGTTAGAGAGTTGGACTTGTAACCCAAAGGTTGCGGCTTCGAGTCTCGTACCAGCAGGGATTGTAGGTGGGGGGAGTGAATGTACAGCGCTCTCTCCCACCTTCAATACCACGACTGAGGTGCCCTTGAGCAAGGCACCGAACCCCCAACTGCTCCCCGGGCGCCGCAGCATAAATGGCTGCCCACTGCTCCGGGTGTGTGTTCACGGTGTGTGTGTGTTCACTGCTGTGTGTGTGCACTTTGGATGGGATAAATGCAGAGCACTAATTCCGAGTATGGGTCACCATACTTGGAGAGCACTAATTCCTAGTATGGGTCACCATACTTGGCCACATGTTACTTCACTTTATAATACAGTATGTGTTTGAAGTGCATAGTTGTTTAAAAGTTTGGGGTAGCTTTTTTTTTTTTTTAAGAAATTAACTTTTATTCAGAAAGGATGCATTAAGTTGATCAAAACTGACAGTAAAGATAATTATCGTCACAAAAAAATTTTTTATTTCAATATAAATGCTGTCAAAGGAAATGGATTTTCTATCCCAAGAATCCTGAAAGAAACGGCTACACCCTGTTTTCAACATTTATAATCAGAAATGTTTCTTGAGCGGCAAATCAGCATATTAGAAAGATTTCTGAAGGATCATGTGACGAGTGAATTTTAGCTTTGCCATCAGAGCAAAAAAAATTACATTTTAAAAGTATGTTAATGTGTCATTATTGTTACAATATTACTGTTTCTGCTGTATTTATAGTCAAATGAAGCATAAAAGACTTTAAAAAAATCATCCCAACCTCAAACTTCAATATAGAGAATATAGAGACAATGTCATTATTGTTACAATATTACTGTTTCTGCTGTATTTATAGTCAAATGAAGCATAAAAGACTTCTTTAAAAAAATCATCCCAACCTCAAACTTCAATATAGAGAATATAGAGACATTTCCAAAATGAATTTGTCAAATTGATTTCTTTTATTTTTTTCATTATGAAAAGGATTTCCAAAGGTAATCCTGCGTGTCTCTGAAGCTATCAAGTGAGCAAGCTGAGCTAAGATCTGAAGATTAGCTGGTGAAACAGTAGATGAAATACAGAGTTTTAGCTGTCATTACTGCACAATGATACAGAATTTAAACCTCTGATCATTCACTCATTTCAAGTCAAATCAATTTACAAGCAGAAATGTGCTGTAAAATTTGCTCCCTCCCTTTTGCAGCTAATGCATCTTCTGATTGCGTTTAGCATTGAGTGCTTCACTAATGACCGTTACACTGAAGCCCTTCCTGTCGCCACACCGACCACTCATGCTGATTCCATGGATGAATTACCATCTCTTCCCTTTTACTCAACGCAGTGAAAAAAATTAAGGTCTGGAGGTTAATTTTCATTTGTCACCCTCTTCAAATGTGAGAAGTTGAGCACAGAATTCTTGACCATGTCAGATATTAATTGTATCCTCTAATGTTGCTCTGGCTCCTGAGTTCATATCAAGGCCTCTCGACTAAATCCAAACAGAGAGGAATAATTAATGTGCCTGGAGTATCTGGAGTGTTAAAGAGGATTTATGTTAAGATTTTGACGGTAGATATTGTGGAACTCATAATGGCGCTCCTCCTTTGGGATTTTGAGAAAGATTTGACCCAGATAACTGCTAACTTGTATTTAAAGTCTTCTGAAGACATTTGTTTTGTGCTTCTCAGCTGGTGACGAGATTAAATACATTAAATTGATCTACATTCTTCTTAAAAATAAAGGTTATGGCATCTATGGTTCCATGGAGCCTTTGCATTCTTTATAGATCGTATATGCTTCAGAGAAACAATGCGCAGCCATCTTTAGAATTTTGTCTGAACTTCCGTTTTCTGCGGTAGCTCTATAGCAGAACTCTGTGCTGGAGGTCTGGTGTCCTGCAGAGTTTAGCTCCAACACCAATTAAACACACCTGAACCAGCTAATCAAGGTCTTATTAGGCATACTAGAACAGTGGTTCTCAATTCCAGTCATCGTGTACCACCGCTCTGCATATTTTGCATGTCTCTCTTATTTAACACACCTGATTCAGATCACCAGCTCGTAAGAAGAGAGCTCCATGCATCAACTGTGCTCCAATTGACATGATCCCTAAACAGTGTTCACTGCTCCCTACTCTCTGAGCACGGGAAATCCATTGCAATCACTAAGGAACATTTATTCGCGGATTTGCGCTATGCCACGGCCTGCAACGTCTTTACACACAAACGAAACTTACTAGAGTTGCATAATATATCTCTGTAAATAAATACAATTTAAATTCACATCTCGCACACTTTAATGCCCTTTGAATGGAACATATAATGTACGCTCCCTTCGAACTGGAATCACGGCGGAATATCCTGTGAAGTCCACTTCTCAGTGATAAGAGAAATATACAAAATGTGACCCTGGACCACAAAACCAGTCATAAGGGTCAATTTCTCGAAATTGAGATTTATACATCATCTGAAAGCAGAATAAATAAGCTTTCCATTGATGTATGGTTTGTTAGGATTGGACAATATTTGAAAATCTGGAATCTGAGGGTGCAAAAAAATCAAAATACTGAGAAAATCTCCTTTAAAGTTGTCCAAATGAAGTTCTTAGCAATGCATATTACTAATCAAAAATTAAGATTTGATATATTTACGGTAGGAAATTTACAAAGTATCTTCATGGAACATGATCTTTACTTAATATCCTAATGATTTTTGGCATAAAAGAAAAATCGATCATTTTGACCCATACAATGTATTTTTGGCTATTGCTACAAATATACCCCAGCGACTTAAGACTGGTTTTGTGCTCCAGGGTCACAAATGTGCAGAGCGGCGGTCAGCGAGGACTGGAATTGAGAACCACTGCAGTAGACTTGAGTTTGGAGACCCCTGCTCTATAGCATCACTGTTGAAAAGTAATTAGCTGGTAAAGTGGATTTACTTATTGTAGAGTTGACGAGAGTTATAGTAAGTCATAAATGTCAGTAGACCGGGAAGATTTTAAGATTTATAGTGTGTGAATAATCAAGCATTGACAATAATCAGTCGTATTGGTGGCACCAAGGGGCCCCCAAATAAAATTTTGCTTAGGGCCCCATAAAGGCTCGGGCTAGCCCTGCATGCACCTATGTACTTGATACTTTGTATTTAACCCACAGCCATTTGAAATATACCACTAAAGTTCTTACATTAGTGCACAGTCCATAGCGCGCACAGGTGAAACGTCTTAAAGCAGCTGGCGGTCTATGTATGTGTGTTATGGGGAAAATAACTGTGTTCTTGGCGACATCACTCAGAAAGCTGTGTAAACCGTAATATGTGCTTGCATTGCAGCGTTTCCCCCGACTGCAGTCACTCAAACCGCTGAGCCCCTGAGAGCCGAGCAGAGGCATCAGAGCTAACGCACACTACAGACACAGCCATCTGGATCCATCATCATCACCATCAGAATGGCTGACTCAGTGATCTGAGTTCAGTGCTGGGTGTAGAAAAGGTTAGATTACAGGAATCTTACTGTGTGCACCTCTTTTTTTTTGAGATTAGCAGGGTTTAGCTTTTGTGATCCCTGCTTCCCTAAACTGAGACGGCTATAAATGCTCCGTAAATTAGATTATAAACATTCATAGTGAGTATCCATGCTGTATTTGCTAACATGTCCTTGAGATCTGCACTTTTAATAAAATAAAGGTTCTCTACTGACATTTATGTTTCAGTGAAGAACCTTTTTAACATTCATGGAATCAATATAGTGGAATAAAGTTTCTTTGGATTAATGTTCTTCACTCTTAAAAATGGTTCTTCTATGAACTGTTCACTGAAAGGATATTTTGGAGCCTTTATTTTTAAGAATGTGAGCTAGATGTCTGATCCAGGTCAAATAAGACTTAAAGGGTTAGTTCACCCAAAAATGAAAATTCTGTCACCATTTACTCACTCTCAAGTTGTTTCAAACCCGTTAGACCCATTGTTCATTTCGAAATGGAACTAGAGAGATTTCTGTTCCATTCCACCTAAACGTTGATGCTTCAAAAAGTTCATAAAGACATTGTAAAAGTAATCCATATGACTCAAGTGTTTTCTACTGAAGAAACACGATTGCTTTAAATTATGAATTTCAATGTAATTTAGGATATTATTCACCTGTAAACATTGGTTGATGCACATAGCTCATCAAATATGGTCAATGGAATCTAACCCATACTTGTGTGAGAACAAACCTCATTTGTTCTTGTGCGTCAAGCAAGTACGGTTGAGCTTCCATTACCATAGTTAATTTGCTCTATGCATGTTTATATGTAAATAAAAACATAAATTAAGTCTGTTCATCATATGAAATAATTGTGTCTCTTCAGAAGATTTGGATGAAACCGCTCGATTCATATGGATTACAATGTGTTTATACATTTTTTAAATTTTTGGTGCTATTGGAGTGGCATGTAGAGGTCTGCACAGGCTTTAAACTGAAGCCCGAACCCGACCCGTACCCGAGATCGTCTGACCCAGCCCGACCCGACCCGAGCGGCACAGTTCAATTTAGAGCCCGAACCCG